TGTTACTGTAATGACCTGGATTTATGGTTGGACGGTGTCTATGATAGATACGCTTTGGAAAAGGCATCTTTGTTTCAGTGAATTGGATATTCACACATGAATGATACAATTCCTAGGAACCTGCAGGTGTTTTTCCAGGGAAATGGGAACAGATTCCAGGGAAATACAGAGATCTCAAATACTGATATTCAACCATAATAAACTGGTAAGATCGGAAACTATTTGGCTGTGAAATAGTAAGGGTTTCAGAACCACTGAGGATGTCAGAACAGTTTATTTCCCTTCTGTCCCTTATGGATTTGCTTCCCTTATGTAAACATGTTTAAATTGCTCTTATATAATGCAAAGCCTGAGAAACAGACATCTGTACGCAGAGACATTCATATGCAACTATTTATGCTATATTTAGGCCTCCACTGTCCCCAGGAGACATTAGGCACTTTGGATAACATCCTGTGAGTTTGGTACCCAGAAACTCTAAAGTTACCTAATAGCATTATCATTTGTTGTATTATAGTAAAGTTAACCATGTCTGACTGCTTATTGTCAAATTTTCTGGCACTTGCCGTGTTGTCTTCTGTTGCAACCTCCATCCATCTGGTGCTGTGAGTGCTGCACTCGCTGGGGTGCAACAGACCAGAGTAGACCAGAGCAGATGATCACTGAGTGTTAAAGCACAGTGGGATGTCCAGACTAGATGAGTTGATCAGAGGGTATCAGCTTTCAGCCTCTCTGCAGGAAGCTGCATAATGCTTTAACACTGCTGATCCTGTTTCTGCCCGCCTGTCTGGCTGCCTAGATGTATGTGGGTGTATGTGTGTGTGTGTGTGTGTGTCTGTGTGTGTGTGTGTGTTCATGTGTGTTCATGTGTGTCCTCAGTTGGCTGTTACAGAACAGAAATAGGGCAGACAGGCTTAGAGCTGTCACTTGCACAGGGATGTATAGGTGGCTTCTTTCAAGTCCTCAGATAGGCGAAAGGACGATAGCGAGAAAGCGAAGCTGGGCTTAGAGAGTGAGAAGTCCTCATGTCGAAAAGAAGTCCGAGTGTGTGTGTGTCAGATAAGAGGCTGCAGATTTGAGTGTATAGACTTGTCTAGCTTAGGTGTGTGTTTGCGTGAGGCTGTGTGTATGAGACCGAGAGAGTGAGAGAGAGCGAGGATGGAGAGTGAGAGAGACAAGGATGGAGAGTGAGAAAGAGCGAGGATGGAGAGTGAGAGGGTATTTTTGATTTTGACAAACTCAAGTCTCATGATGTTTTGAAGCTCAGAGCAGAAATGAAGGG